GAAAAAAAACAATCAAACAATAATGCAGCTTACCTTAGGTAGGGTGCATTGGGGGTGATGTGTATTTCCCTTGCACAACCAGTCCTTACTCAGACTCTCGCAGGCCATAGGTTTCTAATGACTATAATACTAGGTGGCGACTCCTAAATATTAATCATAATTTTATGATTAAATCCAAAACCATTTTCTAAGACATAAGACCTCACACAAGAGGCACAACAAAAAGCCTCCGGCCATCGCTAGACGACGTCGCTCCGGCTTGCACCCTACGACATTAGAAATCTTAAAATAAATATTGATCTCAATAGTTATGCATAACAGAAGATCGACATTATTCTTATTGTATCATTTCAAATGAAATGTTACATTTATTATATATTTTTCTAAATGTATTCTATGACAGCTATTAATTATCTATTTTATTTTTAAGTTTTTTTATGATTTATTTTTAAAAAAACTGACAATAGAAACTAAGAATAGAAGATGAAATGTTACATTTATTATATATTTTTCGAAATGTATTCTATGACAACTATTAATTATCTATTTTATTTCTAAGTTTATTTATGATTTATTTTAAAAAAACTGACAATAGGAACTAAGAATAGAAAACTTGTTGATGAAAGAGATGTTAATCTCTAAAATTAGATGATTTTGTCAATTTAGAAATCTTTTATGTTAGTCCCTACAAATAAGAGATGGTTAATATCATCTCCCCAATCCTAGGTCCACACGATGAGTTTCATCTTAGCAAGAGTCCAAGTGAACATCAATGACACTAAGTCCCACTTGCTATCTAAATCTCCATGTGCATTCCCAAAAAAAAAGAGTCCAAATCTAGAGCTTTTATAGATTTATAGTGAAGTGTGTGAAAACTCAGAAAAATAACATGCATGTAAATGAAATTAAATTGCACAAATGAACATAAACAATGCAAATATTAAATGCTTTAAAAAATAAATAGCAATTAAAAAGAATAAATTAAAAGAAAAACACAAACAGCTAGGGTCAATTCTAACTCCAAGTGGAGTCATCATGCTATCATATCATAACGAATATGAGACTCTAAAATTAAAAAGGAAAATAATAATAATAGAGTTGTCACCTAGTAATTAAAAAAACTAAAAATCCTAAAATAGATACTTATCTCATAGATTGATGTATTAGGTTAATTATGTCAATGTGAAGATTAACATCACTTATAACCTATACTATCAAATGAAAGGTTGTCTTTTCTATCCGTATTCAATGTGAAGATTAACATCACTTATAACTTATAACGTATGCTATCAAATGAAAGGTTGTCTTTTCTATACGTGTTCCTCAATTTATTCTATGTCAATTATTAATTATCTAAATTTATTTTTAAATTTGTTAATGATTTATTTTTTTAAAAAATGAAATTTATCCTTAAAAATATAAGACTTGTTGATAAAAGAAATTTTAATATTACTCCTTAAAATAGGTTATTTTGTTGATTTAGAAAAACAAATCTGATATTAATCCGTAAAGATTTAGAAAAACAAATCTGATATTAATCTGTAAAAAAAAGTCGTTGATTTTGAAAACAAAAATAGAAAAGAGGATCCTCACCCAATTAAGAGGGACTTGTTTTGCAGGTTTTCTAGCTACCTACTCCCATCTTCAATCAAATATCATTCGGATGCGTAAAGCGCCACATCATCTCTAAGAGATTATCCATCCTCATCACTTGTAACCTAGGCATAATTACCAAGATGTAAGAGAGTTTATATAGAAATTGGATTGGGAAGCACAGCGAAATGGAAAATGGTGGAAGCCCTTAGTAATTATACTTTACGATGCATTATTCAAGACAGATGTTTAGACTTTGATTTCCTCAAAACAAGAAAGTAAGGAACCTTGGAGTCTGAAAATCCATAACCTCGGCGGTGCACCACCAGAAGAAATGATGGCCTTTTTTCGTTGCAAGAAATATGAGCTCTTTCTTCTAGAAAAAGGAAGAAGAAGAAGAAGAAAATGGTGGTTGCGGTGAATGTAAAGCGCTTAAACTTCAGTGATGGATAGTTTGTCGATTATTACAGTCTACAGAAGCATTAACTAGCTGATGGGATTTGAGATTAAAAGAACACAGGTAGATGAGATCTCACCACCTCATGGGCATCAATCACTTCGTTAGATGGGTGTGCTTTGACTAGTTTATCTTCGGTCTCATTGGTCAACGATTCCTGTAAAATATATACTAATTAATTACCAGCGAAAGGCACTGCCTGGAAATAAAAAAAAAATCTCAAATCAATCAGGGTCAACATAATAATATCCCAACAATCGCTTTCTAACCTCAGCTTCACATTGCACGTAAAGTAAAATAAATCATTCAATCCATCAGGCCCCACACCTTGTTGTTCATCCATGACTAGTCCCATTCCACACACGATACTGCCACATGTTCCCCTTCACGACAAGACACCACAAACATGCTTTCTTTTTCACGTGTGAACATCGTCCCTGTAATGGCATCCCCGTAATATAACCCAAATATACTGCTAATTTCATCGTCTAGGCCAGGCCGTAAATTACTCTCTTATTTAGTCATGCACGTTTTAATTTATCCTCGCCGCCTGCCATTCTCCCACGCTGCTTTAAATTTATTTTTAAGTTGTTTTTTATGAATTTAATTGTTTTTTATTTAGATTTTATTTTTTAATGCTAATATTAAAAATAAATTTAAAAAAATAAAAAAATAATATCTTCATGTATTTTTTTAAAAAAATACTAAACTGTATGGCTATACCATAATACTAGACTAGACAGGCTCTGAGTAATTAATTGAACGTATTTAAATATTCACTCAAGATGCTTAACCATGGTTAACATGTGTAGTCATATTATAAAACCTGAGAGCCAAATAGAGAAGCCAAAACAGGATAGCATTTCTCCAGAGAGAGAGAGAGAGAGAGAGAGAGAGAGGAAAAGGAAAAAAAGGGAAGAAGAAATTCTTTGTTAGAGGGAGGGGGATCTACACAGGACACTTGCAACAAAATGGCTCTTTGTGTTGATGAAGAAGAGATATGGAAATGTTCGAAGCACCCTTCCAAGCGTCGCCGAACTGGAATCTGCCACGTGTGCCTCCGCGAACGTCTCTCCTCTCTTTGCCCTGACTGCGCTAGCGCGCGCCCCTGCACTTGCTACGCCACCACCGCGTCCTCCTCTTCTGGCACCACTTCATCCTCCTCCTTCCACCGCTTCTCCTCCGCTTCCGGAATCGGAAGCGTCGGTCGAGTATCCAATTTAATCGAGACCGAACCCGCTTTTCGTCGCTCTCGATCCCTAGCTGTTCCGTTTCTCCGGTCAAAGCCATCGGCCGACCATAGTTATAACAACCACAAAACTTCCTCGTCGTTCTGGTCATTGTTCAAGGGAGGGCATGGTAACAGGAGCATGAGAGAGCAGGTTGAAAGACGACACGTGGTGATTTTGAAGGAGGAGGAGCTGGAGGAATCAGCGAGGAAGGTAAATGAAGATGAGGAGAGGAGGAGGATGATGAGGAAGTCAAGATCGGTGGCGGTGACTTCAGAGTCAAGAGGAAGTGACGTGAGGAGATCGTCAAAGGGAGGGAAGGGATGGTATTTCCCTAGTCCGATCAAGGTTTTCAAGCAATCAATCTCGAGAGGGATTTTGGCCCATGAAAGGTCGCCTTTGTATAGAGGTTGATTTTCTTTTACTACCTAGTCTTTAACTGCCAAACAGCAATACATATTCTTATCACCCTTTCTATTATTGTTTTGAATTACTGGCTTTATTTATGTTTTTTGTCAAGCAAAAATTAGTTACTCCAGTTTTCTTTGATAGACACCGTGACACTGTTTTATCATGTAGATCGTGTAATTTCTTTTCTTATTTATGGAAAGAGTGATCAATATATATATGCGATCAGTGAAATTCCTTAATTTAACCTTGTCTTGTATATCTTTTTTTCTTGCAATTTTTAGTTTCGCTGTTTTGTGTTGGGTTTTTTCTCGGGCGTGTAATTAAATAAAAAATTTTAAAAAATACTATTTTAATTCTTTTCTAAATGATTTATTTTGATAAATAATTATAACTGCACTACCACTAGTTTTGGCGGAGCAGTGGTGGGTGGTTGCATGATTGGGGTGCAATTAGATTAGAAGAGAATCTTTGAGTGTTCAGTGACGACCTTATAATGGATTGTCATTTGGGCCCACTTGACATGTGGTTTCAAGTGAAGCTAGGGATCGATTTGGGAGTTACTTGTAAAAGTTGTAACAATTTAGAATATGCTAGAACTCAAGTGCCGAAAGAAGAAATAAACTAGAGTGGGACTCCTCTGAATAAGAATTTAGGCTAGAAAATAGAAGGTAACTAGCTAGGCGAGGTTGTCGGGCAAGAATGACATTAAATATCAGTCTTCGAGTTTGTCTCTGTGCTAGCAGAATGTACAGACACTTCTCCAGCTCGGTGCTCCGAAGCCCCACGGCCACAGATGTTTCTTGTAGAGTATTTCTTGTCGTTGAAAGAAAGAAAAATGAATTGAAATGGTAAAAATCATGAAAACATTATTTTCATGGTAAAGGATGCAGCTAGTTTAATTCATGGATGTTGAGATCGTAATGGAAGATATTCTCCTCGTTCTTAGCATGTGGATTAGTTAATTATTCACTAATGCCTTTTTTAAACAAAACAAAATAATAGGGATAGATTACAATAAAATATTAGCTCCTTCAATTGATGGAATCAAGAACAAATAAACCTCTTTTAATCTCTGACAAACACATCCTTGAAGGAATTTTGACTAATAGCCGTTGAAAGAAATTAGATTTTTTTATTTTTTATTTTAAATTATTTTTTTTGTATTTTCTAATTGTGTTGGTGTTCTTATATTAAAAAAAATTAAAAAATAAATCAATATTATTTTCATATATTTTTAAATAAAAAATATCTGTTAATACACTAACAAACATTCACTAACAATCATTTAAAAAAAAAAAAAACTTTGAAGCACAGTACCCTCAAAACAGTGAGTTTTCCCAGCAACCCTGTTCAAGAAGAGCAAGCTCTGACAAAAGGCACTTAGCAGTTGATTTTTCCATCATGATTGCGGTGCTGGGAAAATAACATATGATTTGTAAGCTTCACAAAGAACAAAAACAAGTATAGTTTCGCCATGGGTAGGGCTGGGTAGGGCAGCAATTATTGTTTTCATGAACCGGTTGGATTGCGAGGGATTTTTCTCTTTTTTTTTAAGGACTGGTTTTGCTCTCAGCACTGTTGTCAGCATCATGATATTACATTAGATTTTACACTTTTACTTGAAATTTTTTTTTCTTAATATTTATATTACATTAGATTTTACACTTTTACTTGAAAAAAATTTTTTCTTAGTAGTAGTAGTTCATCTATATATCTATAATGTTACTAATAGATTTATAAACAAAAATAATCTATCAAAAAAATTTATTATTGATAATTTATGGATTATCGGTGAATTTAGTAGTAATAAATATATTGATAATTTTATAAATAGACAAAGTGCATCAAAAAAATTTACTCTTTTTATTCTATAGGTATATCCATATGTAAATATAGCATATTACTAACAAAATATCATCTATAATTCTCTTAGTGAATTAACAGTAGCAATGATATTTATAGTAATTCTTTTCCAACTTTCTAGAATATATTAATGGTTTAGTTTTATCACTAACCCATTATTAGTAGTGAAATTTATAATAATTCTTTTTTAACTTTATGAATTATACCAACGAAGTTGTGCCTTTGGTAACCCTATCATTAATATTTTAAAACACGTGTACGTTCAAATACAATAAATCTAAAATAAAAACAGCATTGGAATAGGAGAAGAAGAAGGTTGGTCGTTGCTGGAACCGTGAGGCCAATTAGAGGGTGTACATAATCTTCATATATGTGATGTCATTTCCATTACCAATTGATGGAGTTTTTCATAATCAACTATGAGGCATTTATATTTATCATTAAAATAGATTGTCTCATCCAATACCTTTTGGTCTAACATTGCCGCAAACTCTAAAGTTTGAATGCTCGATATCTATTATGAGCATCCAATTTTCAAAGCACAACAAGTTGTTCGTAAGTTCTCAGTCGTAGTGTTATAAAGCTCGTACATCTGATTTCTATCGGGTTCATCAGACGATCCTATCTCTAATTACAAATCTAAATTGATATCTAGATGATTCAAAGGATTGTTCTTGTATCTTTTCTTCAACCGACTATTATATGTATCTTTGAAAGAACAAAATAAAATCATCAAATTGAAAGGGAATAATAACTTAAAAAAAAAAGATTGAAAGCCAATATACCACAAAATGCTAAGTTCAGCTATTAACGAACCATTTCACTCTTAAATATACTATTATTTATTTCATTACAAAACACTTTGGTAAAAAAATTTCATATAAGTTTCATCAATTTACAAATAAATATAATTTTATAAAATCTAAAACAAATATTAACATATACAAATCATAAATCTATACAATTCATAAATCTATACAACAAAGTTGTATAAGATAAAATTGTAAAATAAATAATCACTCAAACAAAACACATGCTATAAAAACATGCAAAAAAAAATAAATGAATCAACATTATAAATTGAGTTCAATTAAAATAAATGACATATTTGCTTATTTAAAGTAAAAAATCCTTAATAAACTTTAAATCAGAACATGGATATGTTGACAAACTGAATATTATAATGAAAAATTATGTTGGTAAATATCATCATAATATATTAATGAAATTTTTTTGTTAGTGTTTTTATTTATATTTTTTAATTTTTTTATGGTAAAAAAAATAACATGTATAATTATAAGCTTAATTAGTACAACTTTTTAGTTTTAAGACCTTAATTTGCCCTTCCTCTCATTTCCTATTTGAGGTTCAAAAACGGCATGTCGCTATACCTTGTGCTGTAATTAAGTTTTTAATAAATTTGCAGAGCCATCAGTTTATAGCAGATGGTTTAGGACAGCACATCACTGTTTCCTAGTGGCCTGCATATGATCAAATTAATAAAAGGTGTGGGTCCAGTCCAGCAAAGAAAACAAATGATTTTACGTTCGACCTAGCTAATGATTGTCTATTACAATGATTAAAGACTTAAGAAATTAAGGGAGTGATGAGCCCTTGTATGAATGAGGAATCTAAATCCCCAAAATCCTGGTAGAGTTTCTAAAGTATCACTAGTTTCTTGAACTATATACATTAAAAATGATTTTTTTAATTAATTTTCTTTCTATCAAATCTTGGTTTCCATAACTTCACCAGATCAGTCAGCCTAAGCAATGACGTCAACTCCTTGTTATTCTTCGATTATATATCTATTAAAAAAGAATCTTTAGTTGTTTTCGGTTTCTTGAATATTATCACACTGTTTCTGGCAAAAACAATTCTCTTTTAAGAAGATTCTAACTGCCATTGCTGTTAATCCTAAGCTTAATTTCATGAGTATACACTTTCGGCTGGTTTGAGAGTATATCTTGCAAGTGGATCGATTCGAGGATTTCTTACAAGGACGTGGAATCCGAGCACATGCATTACTTTAACAAGGAATAAAGCAGCTCACAAAATTTTCTGTTAAAAAAGAAATAGCACGACATGTTTTCGAAGCCACAGTGAAGACATGCTGCAATAAAAAAGTGTAAGGCAGATCAAGTTTTAACTTTGAAGTGACGTTACAGCTGCTAATTAAACGATAGGGCAAGTTATCGATCCCTTTGGCTTATGCTTTGTGGATTGGGATTTCACTTTGATAATTGTGTATAATGATAAGAAAGATCTTAAAACAGGGAGAGCAGCCATTACATTAGTCTTCTAAAGTGCCTTTTTCTTTGCTTAATGCGTACTTTTAAGTGAAAGTACATCATCGGTCCTACCTCATTCTTTCATTTGGATCATAAAGAAAGCTACTCCTCCTTTGTTGAGGTGCAAATTGGCTGGTGAGTGGAGCTGCTGTTGCTTTTGCTTTTCACCCACAAGCCCCAACTCTCTCGTAGCAAGTGTCGAACGAAAAATAGGAAGAAAAGGTCAGAAAAAATCAATCTCTCTCTCTCTCTCTCAAGAGGGAGAAAAAACCGATCCTCGGATGCTAGTTCACAAAATACTGTTTCCTCTTTAACATACATAATCATAAAACCAACCCTAACTTCTGCAAAAGAAATTGCCACCACGAGGTTCTCTACGAAGCCAGAAACAAATTAACAATAGGAAATACTACACATTGCCAGCAATTATTTCCTCAAATGATCTCGTGATTATTATTCTCCAAATGATACAAAAAATTGATTCCGAAACCGCTGGCATGATTTCAACATTAATCAAGCTAATAGCCCCTTAATCATTTCATTATCTCTATTGTACTTTAAACCCGTTGTCTTCTTATCTCGAGGTTCTGTAACGTGCATAAATGACGCCAATATGCAATGGTGCCCGCCTGGTCAGCTCACAGATCATGGGCCATTCATCTCCCAGCTCAATTATTTTATTTCATATTGTAGGTCATAAAATTACAATACAGCACTTTACAAAACATATATATATATATATATATATATAAAGAGGAAGCGAAAACTTGTCTTTTTTACTGTGATGTCAGACTCACTGACTGCACTGCGCTTGATCATGGTCCCTTTTTTCTTCGTTAAAAAATTATTCGTTTAGAGCGCTTAATGTTTTTATTTTCCAATTTCACACTCCCGTTTTATATTCACTTGGTTTTAAGCTAATTGTTTGCTTCAGTTTTCGTTTCTCATCGTATTCAAATATTCAAGATATACATATAAAAAAATGTTTACACTTTAAATTGATGTTCAAT